CTCTCCCCCTCCCTCCCTCCCGCCGCCTTAGCTTTGGGCTCCCAGGGGCGTTAGCAGACACGTGTGGGCAGAAACGGGGTTAAGTCGCCTCTGCCTTCAGTGTCCCCTTGGGTGAGGCAGGGCGCGATAGCACTTCTCGTGCTGGCCATGACTCCTAAATCGCATTGCGGGTGCTCCACTCTGGCATGCTCATGCTGCTCTATAAGTCTCTTCTCTTGTGATACATATACACCTGTCAAACAGATTTTTGGTTGCCTCTTCCCCCTTTCCAAGCTAGTGAAGGGGTGCTTGAATTTTAGAACGTCAAGACGTATATAATGGTTTCACCTCATGTCAAGCAGTGCTCTCTGATGAACCTTAGAAAACTTTTAAATGAACTTCTGGGCAGAGTTTTGAGGTGGGATAAAAGCTTAAAACTTTCTACATGCCTCTTCATTAAAGACATCTCTTTTTATTTGCAAAACACTAAGTTCGTACTCTTTTTGGGGGGTAAAATATCAGAAGCATTTGAATTACTGCATCATTTAATTCTGTTTTTAGGAACGAGAAATGCTGCTTAGTAGCATAACAAGGTCTGGAACTCCGTAAGACCCTAACCATACAAAAATGCTATTCCTGGGTATCTTTTCCTTTTTTACACACAAACAAAAAAAAATATATGGGAGGGTTACTTTTTGCTAGTTAACCCAGCTAATGCTATAGTTTTTCCCTAAATTGAGTGTATGTAATAGTTGTCCGGTCCTCTTTCTTGTTCTCCCTGCTCACTTGAAAGAGTGGTGCCAAGTTTTGTGACTGCTTTAGTTCACGTGGGGGTTGTGGGAATGTAGATAAAAGACTAATTACCAAAGGTTTAGCTAAGTTGCTGGGTTAAGAGTTGTTTAAAAACAAGTTTAATGACCTTTTAATTTTCAAAATATTGGACAAGTCATCAGTTCGGTGTAAGGATAGGAAGTGTGGCTATAGTTTATTCTAAGGGGGAGGCAGTATTTGGATGGGATTGAATTCTGTTTTTACTTTTAGCCTGTCCTAGGTTTTTGTTGTTGAAAATGGTAACATAAGTGTTGCTGTAACACAGAAAGAGTTGTCATTTCCTATTGTTGCTGATACTATCTTTGATTTGGTTACATATTTAAAGCACATAATCTTTGAGACCCGTTTTGTTTAACTTCCTTGCTTTTCTGTAGCATCTTCTTTCCCTTAGGTGGATGAAGTTCCCGATGGAGCAGTAAAACCTCCTACAAATAAAATGCCTATTTTCTTTTTTGGCACCCATGAGACGTAAGTCCTTCATATTAAAGGGCATGCTTTTTTTTTTTTTTTTTTCACTGCAGAATGCCTCGGCAGTAACTTAACAGCTTCCCGGAATGTAGTATATTTTAAAACTATAGAATTCAATAGCAGACCATCTCTTCCTAAATTAATCTTGTTTGACAAAACAGGCAGCTTTCTTTTAACATTTGCAGTAAGCTATTCATGGGACTAGTAGGTTGTAACTGTATCATGTACTATTTTCTAATCTGAAAAAACCCAAATCCTACCTTAAGTGGTATGATTGGTAACTTTCTCTTTCCTTTGTAATGGATTTTAATTACAGTCTTATGTACTCCCAAATTCTCAGAAATAGTTTCTCAAAGATATTGAAATACAGCTGAGAATAATGAAATAGGTAAAATTGGAGAAACAGACAAAGATCTTCATTGACTTTTTTTTTTTTCCTGAGGGGTTTTGGAGGTGTCTTGTTTATTCGTTCTGAAGATATTGAAGGGAAAATGAGGGGATGCAGTTGATAGTCCAGGTCTCATCCCAGTTAGTTTTATACCTGTCATCCTGCAAAACGTTTATCTTTGTTGGATGTTAGCACGTTGTGCTAAAATACAAAATTTGCTTTGAAGGGACTATGTTTCTTCCATTCCTGAACATGCTTCTAAATATGTTGCTTTTTGTGCTGTTCTCTTGACTGTTTCATTGGAAATCATCATCTTACTTTATGATATGACTCATTGTTCTAGAGTAGGTTGTGAAGACTTCAAGTTCAGTGCCACCTGTACTGCCTGATTTGCTTTTAAAAAGCTGCAATGCCATTCTTTATTGCTGCTTTTTTTTCTTAATAAAATAGCAAATTTGTAGATAAAAAGGTCACAGAAATGGAAGTTGTGTATACAGCTGCTCTGTTTCTTGCAGGTTCTAGAAAGGCTTTACTTTAATTTTCATATCATGAAAATTTAATTTTCATGTATTGAAATCTCTTTAATCTGGCACTTTTCACCTATCTGTAAAAATAAGTAATACTTCAACTTTCTACTTAGTTCTTTTCTAAGAAGTAACTGCTCTGTCAAAAAGTTGTCCATGTGCTTGGGTCAGTTTACCATGCATTGTTTAATTGTTCTTATCTTTCAGTGGAGCTGTTCAGGGGTTTGGTTATTTTTCTGTGTGTAGTTTTGTGGGCAAAAAGGGGCTCCTGGAATTTAATTCAAGCTTGCTAGGTTTGAATCCTGTTTTTTTTAATGCTAGTTTTAAGCAGTATATGGTAGGTTACCTTTCTCCTTATTTTTTTTCCAGGATGTTTTGGCAGTTAAAAACACAATATTGTTTTATTTCTTTTCTCGATAATGTATGTCATTCTGGATTGCACCGCTTCTTTTTGTATGGTCTCTGAAAACAAGTTCAGGTACATGGATCAACTATGGTTAGAAAGAAATAACTTCTCATATAAAGCTTTAAAAATAAATTTGTAAAATTTTGAGAAGCATCATAACCTGTTTTAAATGTAACTTAGGTTTCTAAATCATGCTGGATTGTGTGTGTGTGTTTTTGGCTTATGTACATGCATAAATTTGAAATGTCTATTCCTCACTCTAATGTTCTTACAAAACAAAGTTTTACTGAGATCTAGTTCTGGTGAGGCTGTAGATTCAGGGTTACTGTATTTTGAAGTCCTCAAGAGATTTTCTTTAGAACATAAGAGAAAGTTCTGTTACTTGTTTTTCCTGTACCTTACGAACTACAGGATATTTCCATGACCCAGCTGTCTTGTAGTCTTTGTTCTTAGGCATCTCATTTATGTTGTGATCCTTGGAGTGGTAATAGGTGAAACTCCCGTACTCCTTGATTTTGTGGTACTTCTGCTTTCTATGTGTAGCTAAACATCTAGGCAGATGGCTGTGTGCTACAATAGGAAGGAGTAGACCAAGTGAAAATGGAGAGCGCTGTTCCATGGCATTTAATTTTATTTAGCTTTGTAGCAGTGAGTAATGGATTAGTGGTCTTTCAGGAATGAGGTAGAAGCAACCATTTTCCATACTTTTTAACAGGAGTTAAGATAAATTCAGTGAACTTGTTCTGCCGTGTACTTTTTGTGGTTAAAATTATACACCTGTGCGCACCTATTAACAGTGTGGCATCAGGACTTTATTACTGTGCATATAGGCAGCCTATCTTACTTTAATTAACAGTAACTCTGAAAATTAAGATTATGTGCTTGATCATGGTGAAAAACCCTTTTGTGTAAGGGGTGATATTTTCTAGTTACATGGAAGGTTGCAACAGAGAGAGGACCTAAAGGAGGAAAAAAAAAACCCCAAAAACCTTGTTCCAGATTGATTGTCACCTGACTTCTAGGAAAAATATTAATTCATTTTTGCAAGTTATTGTAAGCAAGTATAAGCTTGTATTTTGATTGCCATTGTTGATTTTTCTGGAAGTTTTGCCAGACCTAACTAAATGTGCCACTGCCAGCTGTGCAGTGTATAGAGATGCTTCTTAAAATAGGCTTTTGGGATTTGACTGAGGTATGTTTTGTTTATTCTTATGCTGTCTTACCATAGGAATAGTACACTTTTTTCCAAGGATAGTAATGAAGAATATATTTGTATATTAATAAAAGCTTTGTTTGGATCTGTTGTACCAGTAAATCACATTAGCAAATTTTAGCTAGTGACAGACAAGCAGAAGGTCGCACTCTGAACTGTAGTTCCAGAACTCTATGGATTAGGGTAATGTCTCTGCTGTTCAAGCTTTCCTGGTCCTTTTTCTTTTTGGTACGTGATGAGGTTAACTTCAGCAACCTAACAGGCTACATGACCTTTTCAGGGTAGTCACTTCCTGATGTTCTTTGGAGCCTGAGCAATGTGGGAAGAGCCTTACAAGCCTTGGAAAAATGCTTCCCTTCAGGGAAGAATGGAGATAGTGTTCCCTATTTTGTCTCTTGCCATTTCTGTCTCTCTCCCCAGCCTTTTGCTCTGTTTAAGTAGACTTTGCAGGTGCATGGTTCCCATGCTGACTGAATCCTTTCTAACCATCTCTTGCAAAGAGGTGGGTGATTTGCAGTCTAACCTGCCACTTAATACTTTGTGCACATAGGTAAGTGTTCTACTGCTGGGGTAGAAAATGCTTAAGCTTTCTAGATGATTTATAGCTTCTCTTTTTATTCAATAGGATGTCAGTCTCAAGCATCTCTTTTTAAAGATGATGGAGAAAATAGGAAAGTGGAGCTTCGTGATATCCATTTAACTTTTCCATGAGCCGCTACTTCATAAAGCAAGTAGCTACACTTCTCAAATAGTTGGATCTTACATACGTAAAATTGGACTGAGCTGGGTATGAGCACATGAAAATGAATGTCAGTTCATTTTCACAGTGAAAATGAACCACTGAAAAGTCATCTTTTTTCCGTTAGCATCATTTGGCTGGCTTCTGTGAAATCCAGATAGAAGTACAACAGAAACGAAGTATGCCTTGATGTTCTTCAGCACACACCAGAATGTTGGTCTGCAGTAATTTGTTACCTTGTTTTCACAAGTCCGGTTTAGAAGAAGTAATACTTAGAAAAAAGTATCAGTGTGGATACTGTTACTTTGACAGGGAGAGCTACTAAGCCAACAGCTTTAGCTGTGCAGCTGGCACTAGGGGTACTACTGTGTTGTGGGGCTTGGCTGTTTTAGGGGATGCCAGATGAAGACAAGGATATAAAAACTATCCTAAGTCCTCTACTAAGAGAATAGAGTAAACAAAAAACATTTTTTAATGTGTGTTTTGTCAAGGATAGGGTTGAAGAACCTTAAAGTAAGGAGCAGTTTCATATTTTTATGACTTACATAAGCAAATCCAATGATCAAAGTCCTGCCTTCACACACTGAAAACTCTGGGATTAATACCGAATTACGTAGGATTCTTACAAAGACCTGGGCATTCAGTGTACGCCGATACTGCTTTTTCATTTCAGATACATTGAATTTTTTTCTTAAATTTTATCTTTGAACTATAGTGCTTCTAATTTAATAACTTTGACAGACTTTTCTTTGTTGGCTTGGAGCCATGTCTTCTGCTTTTAATTGCTTTCTTACGTTACCTTGTCAGGATTTAACGATTCTTTATTCTTCAAATTTTAGCCTTTTTCCCCCTAAGGAAGCAACTACTCTTTCTGTGCATAAATGAGCTGCTTAGTTTTTAATTGTTCTAGTTCACAGTAGTTGGTTGTCTTAATCAGCTGTAATCTTGATGGGACACAGCATTGGCAGTTTCTTGCCCTAGACACATCCTAAGCAAGAGAAAAGCGCTGTGTGGTGGCAGTAAGGGAAAACTAGGGCTGTTGAAGGCAGAAGTTTAGGAAAATGAAGATGGTTATGTAGTAGAATCAGGTGCCTCCGTAATGGATTTTGCATCTTAATAACATCTGGTGCTTATTCTCCTTTGAAAAGAGTAGCCATGTTAAAACATGAGATTTTGTGGTAATTTTTTTTCCTCTCTCTCCTGAAGGGCTTTTTTGGGACCAAAGGATATATTCCCTTATTCTGAAAATAAAGATAAATATGGCAAACCAAATAAAAGGAAAGGTTTTAATGAAGGGTTATGGGAAATTGACAACAATCCTAAAGTGAAGTTCTCTCATCAGCAGGTGAGTCATCCAGAGTGTGCTGGATTTTTTGAACAATTGTTCTTGTATTTTTGTAACATAAGAAATGGTTCTTTTGTATAATTGGAGATGTCAGTAGTAAGTTCAGGAGGAATCATGCTGACAGTTTCAGAGTACAGGGCTAACATTTTTAAAAGATGAATGTGTTTTTAAAATCCTACTCTGTCACAATACGTCTCAAGTTACAAATTTCATAGGTGCTATAAAAACATGCTTCAAAAGTAATGATTTTTTGGAACCTCAGCCACCATACTTTTACCCTCTAAGCCCCAGTGTTTTTCTCCACAGATATCTCTGTCACATTTCATTCCATGATTACTTTGTGCACTACATTTTCCTTTTAGTGGTTGGAAGCAATGCAGCACTTCCCTCTTGCCCCCAAACTGTCACTTAACATGCTTGATTCAATATTTATCTGTCAGTGATTCCTCATTTCTTGACCTCTTGGTGAGTCTTCCAGGCTTAAACTGGAGCTCTGTATCTGTCTATCTACAAGAAACCCCAAATTTAGTCTGAAGACCAAGAAATGGACATGCTCGTTTTGTCTTTGCCTACTTGCTGCAAACATCCTATAGCAGGTTGTTTGCTATGCACAGTGTTTGCATAGCAGGTTTTTGCTATGCACAGTGGACCCTAATTGCATACTGGATGCTGTAGACAACACTGCAGCAAAAATAACAAAAATTGGTTATTCGATGCTCTTAGCACTCTGGCATCTCAGGTATTTTTGCAGTAGCTATTCCTTCCTCCATAAAACATTCCAAGTTACTGTGTGCCTAGTTTGAAGGAGAACCTGTATAGAGAAGGAGTTGGAGATTCTGAGGTGGAATCAGCAGATAAGATGCTTTATTCTGGAGGAATATCTTTTTCTGCTATGGATATGAAAATATCATAATCCCTATGTCGCAGTGAGGAAGGGCTTTATTAATAGGGGACAGGTTCTTCCTGCTACTGAAAAATATAAATCACTATACCTCTTCACTTTTTTCACTGTGACAGGGTTTAGGATAACTGAGGCAGTTGAGAACTGTAACTGAGTTTTATGTCACCAGTCAGTCCAAACAAGTTGAAAATCTGCGTTTAAATAATCCACAACAAAGAGCCCTTCTAATATTTTGTCTTATAGCAAGGCCCAATGACTTCAATTAAACAGTGCTTTGAGTTGCTTTCATAGCAGTTCACACTTTCCTAAATAGCTTACATTTCCAAAGGGAAATACGTAAAACATGCCATCAACAGATACATACATACTGTCCAGCAGAGCAGCTTTTTCTGAGGAGCAGTGTTTTCCGTCTCTTGAGTTCCATTGGGACACCTTCAGATTCTGTGACAGCTCTTTCAGACTGCTGTGAACAAGTCAGGATCTGGCTAGAGCCAGCTCTTTCAGACTGCTGTGAACAAGTCAGGATCTGGCTAGAGCCATTGAATTGTTCCTTGCTATTTTCCCCCTTTCATTTCTTCATTTTTCTTTCCACAAGTCACATTTAAATTTTCCCCCTGTACAGCCTTAAGCATACTGAAAGAAGAAATGTCACTTAGTAGTGACAGCTCACCAGTTAAAGCAACAAGACTACAGGGCCCTAATAACTACTTCACTGTTGTTTATTCAGTTTTATAGAATGAATGAAGCAATGCAGTAGACTTGGATAAATTTTCTTCTGAATCTTCACTTTAACTTTCTTTGCTAACCCTCTCTATATCCTGTGCTTTGCATTGTTAAAAGGAGATTTCACTTGCAGCAAATCAAGGCATTAGGAATCAGCCAGCTCCTGTTCCTGTTTGTGGGCAGTTCTTGTTGGTGCTGAAGGAGAACATCTCCAAATAGCTGACTAAACTTGCCGTTTTAGAAAATGGATCAGATCATAAAACAGACAAATTAAGGTTTACCTGATCTGCAATAAAACTGCCAGTAGGACCTAATTCAGAGATGCTTTACTTTGGTGAACATTGATCGTTTTCAAATCAGTTGTGTGATCTTCCATGTTTTTTCACAAAGCACTATTTTGGGGACTTAATTCTCAGAATGGAATATTGTGTCACTTTTCCTTCAAAAACCACAGATAAGATGAAGGAAGGTGCCACTTTACCCAAGCTGGAGGGAGAGTGATGTTTGTTTTTGTTTCATTTTACTTGTTTTCAGCTGATATGCTGAAATAAGCTTTATTTCTGTACATGTTTTGCAGTATAACATATAGTTCACAATGATGACACTTAAGAATTACCTTTCTTACATTCTGCTAGTTCCCTTGGTGTTTGGCTATGTTGCAACTTTCCTAATTTGTGAGGGTGTTACTTTAGCATCTTATTAGCTAAGCTGGAGAAATGAGTACGAGTCTTCCTTCTAGCAGTAAGGAAAAGGAGGCACACCTGCCTGAAGTGAAATAATCTTTACTTCTGTCCTAATTAATGTTAAGGGTTTCTTTGAGGGGTGGAGGCTTATAGACACTTCAGTTAGGGAAGGAAAACGTGTTTAAGAGCACTTGTATATAGTATTGCAATTTTATGGGAGTTCATGGGGAAACCTGTGCCTACTTTAAGGGCAGCAGTGGTTAAAATAGGCAAAGACAAAAGCTGGGATCCCAGGCTGCCAAAGAGGGGGTATAAAAGAGTGTCAGCATAGGCAGTGAGTGATCTTGAAAGTGAAGATGTTGATGTAAAGATACTGGTATAAATGTTATCACACAAATATTTGGTGAAAAAGAATGAAGATTCAGAGGGAAGTTAACATGATTAAGCTAATAAGTTGAGAAAAATATTTTTCCAGTAATTTAATATTAAAGTTGGACACATATTATGGCCAAATAGCATGTTGCGAGAGTCATTACATGAGGTTGTAGGGAGGCTGACACAAGCTTTTTATCTGTACTGTTGGACTTATGTGGATGTATCTTAAGATGTTGTTTGATCTTTGTGTATGCTCTACATGCAAATTCTTTGATTAAAAGAGTAACATGAAGCACAATTATGGTGCAATATAAAGATGATATGGTTGTTAGAGCTTTAAAAATAAGGTTGGGTAGAGAATTTAGTGTTTGGGTACAGAGAATAAGGTTAGAGTGTGATAATTCTATTGAGGTGTTGGCAAAATTGAATTTTTAGGTTGGATACAAGATAGTATGAACGGGATAAACTTATCAGTCATTCATGAAGAGAGATTAACTTTTTCACAAATTTTTTTTCAACTTTTTTTTTTTTTTCCACTTTACTAGGTGTATTTTGTCTTTAAGTCCGGAGAGCTACATTTTTTTTTCAGTTTAACTGACAGAACTAGCTGGAATGTTCTGAAAGCAGTACTTTGCAGATGTTGCTTGTAACTGTTAGTAGGAGAGGTGGAGCGTAGAAGGGAGGTTGTGGTTTGGGCTTAAATCCAAAACCATTTCCTCAGTGCGGGAAAAATTAAGAGTCAAGGGAGTTCTGCTGGCTTTGTTCAAAAGAGCTAATGCTTAAGAGTGAAAATGCTGTCCACAAAGTAATGGAATTAAAAATAGTAATTTTGCCTTTCCCTCCTCTATTTCCATATCTTTGAATTTAATTCTTTAGCTTTTGTTATGTTGTTCTGCTCATATTTTTCGGAATAGATAGTACTCTCCTTGCTCGGTTAGGACTGATAGCTAATATGAAAATGCACTTTTTGGCCAGGATGGAGCTCAGACTTGCTTTTTTACCCAGTGTGGTGGGGGTCTTTTTAGTTTGCCCCCTCCCTTTTTTTTTTTTCTTTTACAATGCCTGGAAAGTTCTCCATAGCGGATTTTGGATTGTTAAGTGGTTTTATTACATTTTCAGATACACAGACAAAAACACATGTGGAGTTTGCCTTATGTTCACCGCCATTCAGAGACAGTACCTTATACTGAAATTGATTTATAGTGTGACTACATCTCTTGGCCGAGGAGCTTCACAAATTGTGTGTGGCTCAAAGCTCCTTTCTAATTTATACTTAAGGTAAATGTTACCTTGCAGTATTTGTAGTGTGAAGATAAATTACTGTTATTGCTTGGGAGCTTGAAAGTTAGTTAATGAAAATGTAATTTAAATCAAAAGATGTAAAAAATATATATTTTTTTATTATTGTAGCCCTAGTAGAGGGTTTCTTACGGTTTCTTCAGTAACTTACAAATGGCAGAACATCTCTTGATATCGTTACTCTGTAGTTCAGAAAGGGATTTCCATCTTAACAGTGATGTTTTTATATTGAAGTCTCATCTAGCTGTTAACAGTCCTATCAAAGAAGCTGGTCAAGAAAGCATTCAGGAGCCTGCTGAGTGGAGTGAAGAAAAAGCAGGAGCCAAAAGGAGAAAGCCTGCTGTCTCAAAAGAAAGTAACTACATTCATGTTTTTTTATTTTATCAAAAAACAATTTTTTTAAAGCAAAAACTATATTGAAAAATTCTTACTTAAATACTTTAAAGTGATGGTGCTTTACTGTTGTGACTGCCTTTTCTTTGCTTGTTTTCTGGCATATACTCTATTTTTGTTCTTCTCTATCTCTTTTAAGGCGATACAGATATTTTAGAAAATGAATTTCTTTACAAATCTATCTTTCTAAGTCAGTATACACTTGAACAAAATTCATACAGTATTTCTTGGCTACGTGAAAGTAAGTGATTACCAAGGTTTACCATTAAGCTTTCTTTTTCCTTTCTGAAGACTGCTTAATAGCCTAGACAGGTAGGGCTCTCTTTAGCTGTGACACCTTTGGTTGAAGAGCCTAACAGAGCATTAGGTTCTGTCTAGGCTGAAACAGCACTTTGGTGTATTTGACTAAACGGACTTCATGGGTCAGTTTGATTTTACTCCACGTTCTGTAGTGTGAATGCACATAAAAGATTTCATAGTTGTATCACTCAAACTCCAGATCAGGAAAGTGTTTGTCAGTAATTGGTATGTACTAGTTTACATAGGCAAAGTTTAGCTTTTTGGCTGCATAAACGCATCCATGTTTTAAAATCCTTCTGAAACAAGATTCTGTTCTTTTTAAACATATTGTATCTACACTAAGAAAACGTATGTCTCTCTGAAATGTCTTTGGTGCTGTATGAAATCCCTTTTATGAGAGGGGAACCTTCTAGTTTATTATGCACTTGATGATGTTACGGAGTGTAGAACATATCTTTGGACTCTCTGCATCCTTGAATACTTCGTTTTGTTTATGTGGGGTTTTGTTTCCATGGTATGGAAAATAAGTGTATGATTTCTTTTCAGATTTATTAAAAGGAGAACAGAGTCCTAAAATCACAAAGCTCTTGATGGAGATAGTATTAATACATTTATAGTGTATCAGTTCTTTCTGAGTCACTTCTGGAAGTAACGACCTTACAGGATATCAGTGTCCTTAATTACAGCGCTGCCAGACTCTTTTGGACAGAGTTGCCTTAGTTCTGATAGTTTGCCTTTTGATTATTTGCCAGACTTTAATGCTATCTTTCTGTAGACATAGCTGACAATGTCTTTCAGCATTGATTCATAATTGAAACAGAAGAATTTCCAAAGTGTTAGAGACATAGCAAATGTTCCTCATGGAGGAGTCTTATAGCTCTATATAGCTTTTTTTTCAAGTGGTGGAAAAAGAGACCTTTGCTAAAAGTCTGGTCTACTGGGGCTATACTGATAGATGATATCCAGAGTTGTTAAAACAAGTGGGAGTCTGCAGATGTTTGTCAGTAGTTCTTATTTATAGATTGTTTCTCCCAACTTCTTGCTTTAAATCTTCATTTAATGCTTCCATATTTGGAAGATTAGTGTGTTTTGGCTTCTATTTTGCTATACTTTAGGAGCACAGTTTGATAAGTAACTTTCTGGTGGTATTACTTAACCAGTTTTTGTTGTTCTTTCTCCTTATGTACAGTGCTGATAAAAGCTTTTATTCCCCTGGGTTTAATACTGCTGGAAGAAAACTTTTTAAACTGGATGGGTTAACCAGTCTGCCTCACTGTGAAAGCTGTGCAAGGGTGGTGGGAAGGGGTGGCGTTGTCTTAGGCCCATGTTTCCCCTGAAAAGTGTTTTAATGCTGTCCCAAGTTGGCATTTTCAAAGGGAAGTAGGAGGACCATATAGAGAGTCCTTTAAGTGCAAAGATGGAATGGAAGATCCTAAAGGGATCTTTTTACATACGTTTCTTTAATCTTTTAATCAGCTTAGGGCAAAATATGGATCAGATCTGCAAGTAAATCTCTCATTCCTTTTGTTTTGATACTAATGTAGTTCCAACATTCTTTTAAACTGATCATTGTACTCTCTCTGGTTGCCCAGGTTTTTAGTGTACCAGTGATTCTTTTCTCTTAATTCTAATCTGTAGAAAGAATTAGTGATACTGCCTGTCTTCAAATAACTATGAACATTGCACAATAGCCTTCTGCCTGAATTGTTTGTTCAATGTTGAAATTTCAAGAGCTGTACTTGCTTTGAAAAGGGAAATTCACAGACGTTGCTTGCAAGTGGGACAAGGCTGTAAGCATTGAAAGTTAAAAAGATGCAGTGAAGATGTAAAAAAAAAAAAAAAAATGCACGTACGTTGGCTGCAAGGATATGACGATCGTGTCCAAATAAGCTACTATGAATGCTTGATTTTCAAATTTAAATGCTCTCAAACATGAAAAAAGGCACAAAAAAAGCTCACAAGTGATGAAACATCTTGTTTGTGGCCTGTCTACTGCAGGATGTCCCTATTCAGTAGAGTGATGTCCTTTGATAAATGTGGTCTGTGACTCTTACTCATATATATGTGAGAACAAACAGTGATCCAAATGAATCTTGAATAGTGGTATGAACGTTTAGAAGTGCTGATGAAACAGTGATATGGTTTAAAAAAAAAAAAAAAACATAGTTACGTTGTCATGAACACAAATTGGAATTGAAGTTCCATCTTGGCACGCTGCTGTGTTTTGACCTGTTCTGACTATTATCTGCAACTATATCCTGGAGCGAAAGTGGTCCTGGCTTAGGTGCTTATTGTCTCCCTGAAAAAGCAGTGTATATCCAGATTTAAATTATTTTAGCAAAGCAGGCTAGTAGTAGCAGGCTGATGGTTATTAGTCTGTTCTCGTTCCACTTTTATTTCTCTAAATTTCTTTTTCCTATACTTTTTTTAGTTACGCTATGTTGATTTTTCAATTTGCAGTTGTCTCCTAAAGAGGATAGTAACTTACCTGCAGAAGCTGAAACAGAAGAAAAAGAGATGGAATCAACAAAGGAAGATGAAGTACCTTCTGAAAAACCAAGCAGTGAAGTACGTGAAAGCTTATCTTTTTCCATATCAAGGAAAACATTTCAGTGCTATATCAGTTGACTCATAAATTTAATCTTTGAATACTGAGAAACTACAATTACTACCAGTGTGACTGTCCAGAAGCAGTTTAAAATGTAAGACCTCATATGCATTCAGTTACGTTTATACATCTCATTGAAGTCAACAGGAGTTAAAGCTTTCATCAGAGAGGAAAATGTAGTCTGGCTTCTCTATAAGTTAAAGCAGCTGAAACTTTTTTATCACTTACTCTTGGTTGCAAGTGTACTTTTTCAAAGGACTAGATAAAGAGTTCAAATTCACTAAAATATGACTACATACCTTTTTTTTTTCTCTTTTTTTTAAAGAAACAATATTATTAATTAACTGGTAATCAAATTTCTCTCTCTTTCAAAAAAAAAGATATTTAAAAGCAGAAAGGGTTTTCAAGTGCGTTAAGAAACTTTTGCCTTAAATGTATACCAGAACCGTCAGTTACGTGATTACCCTGAGAAACTTTTTAAAAAAAGAAAAAGAAAAGAAAAAAGAAAAACTGCTAAGAGTCCTTCTGTCCTTTTATCTTCACAGGATGTGGTGAAGACAAATGATACATCTATTCCTAAAGTTGCTAGAAGAGGAAGAAAAAGAAAGGTAACAGTATGCTCAATTACTTTAACTTATTAGAGCCTTTGGACATGATGATCCCGGATATTCTGTTTTCTTTAATGACAAATTATGCACAAGTGAAGATGCTTGACCTTTTTCTTCCTTTTTTTTCCTTTCTTTTTTTTTTTTTTTTTTTTTTTTTTTTTTTTTTTTAAAATGGGTAAAAAATTTGTAAGAATACAAATCTTTTTTTGTAGGAATGAAAGTATTTTCAGAGGCTGTTTTACTTCCCTGAGTTCTGGTTAAACTTAATGCAGAATTGGGAGCTCCCATCTTTTTCCAAATACTTCAGTATGGGGAATTTCAGTATGGGGAATAAATTTGAAGACAAACTGTTGTTCAACTGCTAACAAAACAATCTCTTTAGAAACTCTGGAAAACTTACTTAACATCTTCACTGCCCTAAATCCAACACTTAAAATGCTCGCTCTTTTCATGAGGTTGTGCTTTTGTGACCTCTTCAACCTGTTATAAATCTGGGTTACGTTTGAAAGAAGTCCCAGTTGCTTGCTCAGCTTGTTCCACCTTTAATGTTCATGTGGTCACACATGCCACATCAGGGCACTGATCCAACTGAAAACTAGATTAAAGTGGGGCAAAGTATAATTTTAATTTCGAACCATTTCCTACTTTAACTTGTTACATTAATGCTGACAGCAGAGATGAATGACAAGGTGTAACTGTAACCTTAGTGCCTTGTGCTGCAGATGAGTAGCATGCTGAATATCCTTTGCCTCAGGAGAAAGAAATAGGCAGTATTTGGATTTTGTTTCTTTTTAACAGAAATGACTTGAATCTTTAAAAGCTATAACTTTATACCTTATGTAAATACATATACATGTGCATAACCTAAAATTTTAAAAATTGTCCAGTCTGGGTCAGTGAGGATTTGAAAGAATGAGTGTGCATGCATATGATTTCAGTTTGTAAATGGAAACAGGGACATCTCAGATGATAGTCCCAAAAGACCTCTTATTCTTTACCTTTTCTTAAAGCACTCAAGTCTTCTGATTCTTGGCATTAAAAGGGCATCCATGCCCAAGAAGGTTTCCTACGTCACGTGAAGTAGCTTGAGTTAAGACTTGTGTGGCGCACACTGTGTGTGGCAGTGGTTTAACAGAAACTCACCACGCTACAGGCTATTGCTGAACAGAATAACATGGTATTTCAAGGAATGGGGTGCTTGTGGGTTGGAACGGAGGATTGGCTATATGCTTATTCACTCTTGAATACATTCCTTAATCGTATTAAAAAGAAATGCGGCGTTTTGTTGTCCAGGGATTGTATAAAAAGATTCTAACAGGTATTTTATTATTTAATGGTGGCCACAATGAATAATAGTAAGATAAATATGTATTTGCCCATGTTGCTGCTAGCTGATGCTTCTCCATTCAAGACAGATAAATATTAACTTCCATGAATATTTTCTTCAGTTGGAATTTTTCTGGATTCTTTTCATCTGCATTTACTGGATGTTTTTGCAGGGAGACTAACATGTATCCTTTTATCAGGATCTTCTTTTGTCGTAAGTTCTGTCTGTCTTTCCAACCCAGCCCCCTAAAATGACTATGTAGTTGAAGTTCACTGTGTTCAGTTAGTGTAGTTTGGCACATACTGATTTTAGAACGTTAATAGCAGTTTTTCATTGTGGACAGCTGGCTATAGACCTGGAAGTTGGTGTTTTTCTGAATGGCTCCATCTACTGGTATGATTCAGCGAAGCTACAGGGAGATAATAGCATCTGAAAGAAAATTGTATTTGGGAGAAGTGAATTTACCTACATAACAGCATGCCAAAAGCCAGTTTTATGGTGACCTTAAAAATGGTTGTAAACCATTTTTGTGCTTTGTGCCATGATAGGCCATCGTTCTGAAGTCGAATGTGCTGGTTAAAAACGGTACAAAAATATTACTGTATGAGTTAGTCATGAAAGGGTGAGGTGCGTGAGATTTAAATATAATCTTTTATTAAATTTTGGAATTCTTATTGTTTAGTATTTGGACACAATATTATGATAATACATTTTCGGCAGCTTTAAACTGCTGTTTCAGGAAACAGTTGAAAAATAGATGCCCTATGGTTTTCACTTGTGAATTGCATTCTTTAAATTAGGCTGAGAAACAAGCTGAAGCTGAGGAAGCAGCAGCAGTGGCAACAGCAGCCAGCAGGGGCAGCAGCGGCAGCAGCTGCTGTGGCAGTGGCTCCAAAAGTAAGCCCCAAAAGAGGAAGGCCAGCAGGTAACTTTAAATGAAGGATTTGATATAAATTTGTCACCACAAAGATATCTTAACAGAAGCAGTTAGAGGATTCACTGTCCCCTTACCGGAAAGTACTACAGAGTATTTCTTAATACGAAAAGCAATTTTGTGATAATTGGTTATTATGATAAAACATCTGGCATCTCAAACTGAGGAATTCAAGACAAAACTGAATTTAAATCATTAGCATTTATGCTCAGACGTCTGAGTAAGAATCATTATATTTGTTTACAGGTCATCTTTAGAAAAATCTTCATAGAATGCCCCTAAATTGTGGAGTATACCATAAGAACTCTTTGTCCATTATTGTTCCATATTGTGCCATAAAAAGTTTATCTTCATCAAAGGGCTATGAAATGAATAGTTCAATTATGTCTAACTACACATAAAACGTAAGTAAGAAAACAAGACTGTGCCTATAGGTGGAGCTCGGAGGACAAGAAAATCAAGGAAAGAGCTCGTGAGGCTTACCTTAAAAAACAAAAAAAAAAAACAAAAAAAAAAATTTAAAAACAATCTGTGTGGATTGGACAAGTGAGAAGAAATACAACTATCTTTTTTAAAAAAAAAAAAAAGTATAATTTGAACCATTTGCTAATAATTCTACAGTGGTGTTTTCCAAGTAGCAATGATCTAATTTATTGGAATTTTTGTGGTAAGCTTGCAGATATGTTTGACTTGGTCATTAACTACTACAGGAGAAGACAGTTCTTTCAGCAGTTAAGCGCACTGTATAAGCATCTAGTCTGGGAAACAGATAATACTTCAAACTCTGTATCTGTTGACGCTATGAAAACAACTTATAAAAAAGTGCAGCCATAGTTAACTAGACTTAATTACATTCGCCTTGGAAGCTGCGAGGAAAGAGGTACTGCTTTAGTCCTCCACACATTTCATTACACTTGCTAACTAAACACTCTTTATATTTTTATGTGTTTGTTCTCTTTTAATATAAGCAAAACTCATTTAACTACTGGCTATAAGACCAGGAAAGGATAAGAAGAGGTGCTTTCTCCCCCTGTATGAAACACGTTATTGGAAGAGGCAGCATTACCTCGTGTTTCCATGATGGATGCATCTCTTGCTTAGTAGAGCTATATACTAACACCAGCAGGAATTAATTCAGACACTGAGTATTATGTTTCCTAACCGCATGTTCACTGTTGTATCAGACAAGCACTTTCTTGAACTTTGAATCTGTAAAAGCAGTGTACGAAGTATTTTTCTTTTACAGAATTGAAAGGTATATATGCCAAGCAGGCAGATAGAGTATTTATCGTGCTTTAATAATGGTGAAGCTGAGGAAATGCAAAGTTTTGCCCTATACTGTACTGTGGCAGTAGAATTTCTTGACAGTGACCTCTTCTGAAGAGCAGCAATGGAAGCTCCATGATATTTCTAAAAAAATAATAGCAGTAAATAGGCTGAGTGTAGATGTGCCCACTGAGTTATTTTTTTCCCTACTTATTTCTGGTTCTCAAATTTCAGACTTGTTTATATTAACTGCAACATTTGAAATGATAAGGAGTGCACGAGAAGTGGAAAAAACCACAGGAATAAGTAGTTTAAGCATGTGGTTTAAGAGCTTCTAAATTATGGAATAACTCTGTAATTTTTCAAAGAGATCTTGATCAAACTTTGATACGCAGTTGTAACACCTGAATTTTTTACAGTAACACAGTTAGTAGTGTAGATATTCAAATTCAGGTATTACTTCTGTCTTTTGAGTTAGAATCAGTCCTCATGGACAAGGCTGCATGATGGCTTTAGACTAACCTGTTTTTTCTGTATAAATACTAGCTTCTGAAGTAAAGATCCCTAAACCAAGAGGGAGACCCAAACTGGTGAAACCACCTTGTCCTTCAGAGAGTGACCTGTGAGTTGTTGGCTTTTTGGTTTTTTTTTGCTTTTTATGTAAAATTTCTTCATTGTAAACCAAATGGCTGCTTTTGACAAGCTTGCATGATTAGTACTGAGTTCCTGACGTGCGTTTGCCTTGCAATGTTCAGTATGAATTACTGTTTGCTTTCATGTTTTTATTTACAGCTCAGGCAATTAATAGATAGTAGCTCATGTTAGTACAGTTTTGGAACAAGAGAGGGAAGATCTTAACCTTTCTAACTTATACAACCTGTGCAAAAGTCCTTATATATCTGTAATGCTGTGTTATTTGTATAAAAGTGAGGTATCTGCGAAGGGAATATTTGTGAAGAAGAAAGAGAAGATCGTGCAAAACTAAATTATCAACTTACATTTTTGTTTCAAAAGTCATTTCTGAGTGAATTCCAGCTGTCTTACTGATCTGCTACCTAAATTTCATTTTTATGCTATTTCGTTTTCATGACAAACTTGTACTTCAGTTACTAGAAAAAGTAAAAGTTGAGCATTGGCATTTTCTACAGGCTAGCAAATGTGCAGTTTCACTATATGTACACCTTGTATACACTTCATAAAGTTAGTTTACAGTGTTTGCACTGCTGAATAGTCCTGCCTCCTACAGACACTTACGGATACGAAGAACATCTGAGCATTAACTTTTGCGGAGGTTTTAAGTTGTTTCAATGTTTGTTTCATTGGACCTCCATACTGTTATTACTGTATTTCTCTTTCACATATAGATAATAGGGTATAGTTTTAGAAAAAACTATTTTTTGGAAGAATCTTTACATTAAAGAGCTAAGGATAAACTAACTTTGTAACTTACTGTTCTATAGTTTTTTCAAAATCCTGATTTAAGAGAATGCAATCATTCATAAATACTGCTTATGTTTTAGTGTTAACGAAGAGGAGAAAGTGAAGAAAAAAGGACCAGAAGAAAAGCCCAAGAAGCAAGGGAAAAAAGATGAGGAGAGTCAGAAGGAAGAAGAAAAACCAAAGAAGGAATTTGACAAAAAAGAAGGAAAGAAAGAGGCTGAACCAAAAAGGAAAAATGCTGGGAAAGTTGGTTCTGTGTCGGCTTCTGATTCTGAAGATGATGGAGAAGAGCAAGAAGGTGACAAGGTATATTTTGCTTTACTGATCTATTTCTTACAGAAGAGAGCAGTTCAGTGAAGATTTTTCTTGAAACTAATGCTAGATCTTCAATTTTGTGTAGTATGGGTTGGAGCCCTGTGGCTGGCTAATATAGATAGGTAGAGCAAAATTTGCAGTTGTCTGTCAAATAGTTCTTTCAGTAACCTTTTTTGGTATTTTTCCAAGAAAAGCACTTTTTCTAAGACATTGTTTCTTAAGATGGATTTAAATGTAGCAGTCACTCACTTTGTCAGAAAGCTCTTTTCCATATATACTTTTTTGAATACGTATCTATTTTTTTCCATTAATGGTTCTAAGAAAGCCTTTAGTTTTTATGAAATACACTTTTGAAAGGTATAGAGCTGTCTCTAGCCAATCATTTGGAATTTCTTGATTTTCGTGGTATTTAGGATATTTTTTTCTGTACACGGGAGAAGGAAAAAGGGAGAAAGCAGTAATATCTTTCAGAACTTACCAGTATATGGAGGTCTTG